AACTAACATTGTTGGAATACCAAAAGTACGACTCAAGATTATAGAAAAAGTTTCAAATGTAAAAAGATAATTCAAATTTTTTTTAATGTTTTTTAACGTTTTAAGCAATTAATATCTTACCTGCTGCAGATAGCATAGAACTTCCTCAATATAAAGAAAGTGAGTTTATTCCTGACTGGAATGATGAGCTAAAGCCTAGCTGGAGCTGATTCTAGACTGGATTATTGTTATAACAGCCCAAATCTCAAAACACATTACGGTTTGTGTTGAACACTCGGCCCTCCGTTCTGCATTAGCATTCATATGGAGTGTTACGGTTATTTTCTAACACAAATATAGCAGCAGCAGCAAGCTGCAGTACTTCTGTCAGAAATATCTAAATATTTCTACCAGAATACCAGTTTAATGATTATTTATGACTTTATAATAATTTTAATTGTTATTTTATTTGAGATTGGAGTCATTTTAAGATGGCAGCAACACACGTTGGTCTTTATCTGGATTGGACTAGCCATTAGCTCGTCAGTCAGTTAAACTCCATTTCTTTCAATTGTGGTAATTTAAAATGCTATCAACAAGTAGCCTTTTAATTAGCCTTTCAGAACTCGATATTGAAATGTGAGAACAATCGTTATACTGTCAGGAAAACCACATAGACACTATCTAACATGTTTTCTTTCTGTTCCCTTCACACAGAGCACACCACCACCCACTTCTTGTTTTGCTTTGAAGCCTTCTGTTATGCAGCACTTCCTGGAATCGCCATTTGGAGAAAAGCAGTTTTTCACAGCAGGACTTCAAGTTCTACTTGTTACTCCTTGGATGTCAATATTGTGATAGCAGCACGGTGTGTCTGGAGTATTATCGCTGCAATATGTCCTTCTTAGAGTTTCCCTATCCTGTTGGATGAAACACATTTTATGGTTTAAATGAGTTTAATGTCATATTAAACCTGAGTAACATATGGTATCAGTCTCCATGTGAATGTCAAGGGTTGAACAAATATGTTAAAATTAATTCATTTGTTTACTTATGAAAGGATTACATTTTTTGTGTGAAGGTTTTACGGTGGCACAATGGTGCAGTGCTGTTTGTCTCGAATGCAGGACAGAAATCATTCTCTCTATCTTTTATAAAAAAAAAAAGATTAAAAATGCCAAAAGCAGGCATTTTTAAGTCTGTCACAATTTATGAGATAAGTTAAGGTGTCCAATATCCTACATGTTTTTTTTTTTAAGTTTACCTGCTACAACACATCAGATTTGAACAAATGGGTGATTAACAAGCTTCTGCTGAACTTTCAGAGGTAATTTAATCACTGAACCAGTTGGAGCAGAGAAACAAGGAAAACATGCAGGATACAGGCCCACAACGACCAGGAAATGATAGACACMTCCGAGCTAGACCTGCATGAAGAGCTCAAAATCTAAAAATGAATTGTATTTTATTTTGTTTTAAATGAAAAAAAGGGCTTTTTTGGCATGAAAACTTAAAACACAAGGTGAAAAACAACAATGCTCAAATGACAACATGGGAACTGAGGGAACAAAAGGGTTGTGACCAATGAGGGAAGTGGCTGCAGCTGTGGCAGGTGAAACAGAGTGCAGGTGTTGATGGGCGGGGCATGTGAAAACACTGAGGAACAGAAACTGACTGAAATCACAGAGTATCAACTATAATAACCAAATAGGGAAAATAAAACCAGCAAAAATACAAAAGTCTATCAAAGATAAATAAAAAAACTCACAGAACTAAAAAAAAAAAAAGTTTCAATCTGGAGATTTTCTCTCATTGGAGTCCTGACTTCAACTTTGGGAACAGCAGATGTAGGCTAGATAATAATTAGACAACTAAAGTATAAAATCCAGCTTTTGTGAAATTTTGTTCAATTAAATTACATTTTTCTTTTATATTTCCATGTATAAATGAGTAGGACTATTACTATCATGTATTTCCTGACCAACAGCCGTTGGAAGCTAAGGGTTAAAGCTTTACGCACAGGTGTCTCCTCCGTTCTTTATGAGGCAGCGCCTTCAAACTGTCGGCTGACTTTTTTTTTTTAATTAAGTTGATCATGACTGTAAGTCAGCTGGGATTTGCTGTCCGTGTCGTCAGGGGGAACTGTAACTCATGTAACCAGACCTTGAGGGGGTTTTACGCACCACAGCCTTAAAACCTGGGAGAACTCCGGGAGACACCGGGCCAGCACGCACGGGTTGAATCTAATCCCGAATAATTAATCAGCTGACTGCGAAGACTTTGAAGGTTTTTTTTGAGTTGAAGTCCTCTTTTTTGTTGTTGTGGGTGTGGGTGTCCGCTCCGATCTGAGACATGTGGTGGATGCTGTTTCCCCGCTGGATTTGGTTCGTTCTCGGACACTTTTATCTTCTTGTCCTTTTTTTGGACAGCTACCGGGTGAAGGCGATGCCTTTGATGTCCGTGGCAAAGGTGGTGTATTCTCACGCAGGTATGTGTCCGAATGACCTGAACCCCAACCTGTGGGTGGACGCGATGAGCACCTGCATGCGCGAGTGCGAATCTGACCAGGTGAGTTTCTTTTATCACTCATTGCTGCTTGGTTTGTCCAAGAAGAAGTAGGACAAAAATTAAAAGTAATTTAAAAWACCTTGAGAAAAACTGCATTTTACATCATTGAAGTATCTTGTTTATTATTTATTGCACAACCTAATAATAAAAAAATCAAAACACTGCAAAAAATGTTAGTGTTGAAATAAATCAGTTAAATCTAACAAGTAAAATTCATGCCTGTATTCACACCAAATACGTTAACACCTTTAAAAATAACGTTTGAGTTATTAGATTTGTTTAAATATATTTTAGTTTTGGCTACAGTTGATATATTCTGAACAAGCAGATCAGCTGTGTGCATTCACACWGAAGGTGGTCATGATCTGATATGTACAACACAATTTTTGTTCTAATAACTTTGGACATAAAAAGTGTAAATTGTTCTACATTACTAATACTAATTCAATCAATTTTGCTCTGTTCTACACTGAAAAAATCCATTTAATAAAAAAAAAGAAAAATCAATTAAGATGCTGCATGTAAAAATAGTTTCAGATCCATTTTCACGTCTCTAAATACTTTTAAAACTAACCTTCATCATTAAATTTTGGTCATRCACTGAAATGGTTTGTGACTGAGGAAATTGTAAATGGCATGTAAAAAGTGCTGTTTTCAACTTGCATTTCAGTTATCCACTTGGTACCCATAATATTTTCCAACCACTATTATTTATAGCAGCCATTTGTTTGAATAATGCAGTTAGCCCCTGACTTTACCTATTCCTAAAATCTTACTGGTTTGAAGAGTTGCATCTGGAACACTGTTGGTCTGATGTATAACTCTCAAATTGAAGTTCTTATATCTAAGGTAAATAAAATGCAGCATATAGTCATGCTAATGTTCACTAATATGATAATAAAAGGGATGTTCTCGCACCCTAGTGGCACGGTTTGGGTATTTCAGCTTTTTGGTGAGACTACTAGAGCAAAACAATAAAACCAAAGAATTCRAATTCATTTTAAAACATATCYAGAGCAGTGTAGACAGGGTGCAAAATGGAACACAAATTATTCAGGYGACTTTGTGACTTAAAGCAATCACAGTAAAATTTAGGATTTCAACAAAGTTTTTTTTCTGATTGCATGTTTCATTTGGCGTTAGATTTAAGACAACTTTTTTTGTCCGCTGTTTTCTAAACTTCAGGACTGCGAGGGATTCGAGAAGTGCTGCCCCAACGTCTGCGGTAACAAGAGCTGCGTGGCGGCTCGCTATATTGACATAAARGGCAGCAAGGGTCCCATTGGAATGCCGAGGGGCGCCACCTGCGACAAGTTCATGTGCGCTCAACAGGGCTCCGAGTGCGACATCTGGGACGGCCAGCCTGTTTGTAAGTGCMGAGACCGCTGCGAGAGGGAGCCCCACTTCACGTGTGCGTCTGATGGCATGACTTATTATAACAAGTGCTACATGGATGCAGAAGCCTGTTCCAAGGGTATCTCAATCTCTGAGGTCACCTGCAGGTAACATGTTAAGTACTTTAGATTTTGTTACTTTGATTTAATGAGGTAAAGTTGATTRAGTTTTCAAAATCAAACCAATTATCTGACTGGATCACTGAAAAAAAATGTACTCTGTGTTGCCTTAGGCTACGTTCACACTGCAGGCAAATGCAACCCAAATCAGATTTTTTATTTATTTATTTTTTGCCCCAATGTGACCCATTTCAAATTTTTTCATGAAAGTCTGAAAATGACAAATCCTTTTTTTTTTTTTTCAAATCCGACCAAGGTCTTTTCAGTATGTGGAATTGCAGATCTTGCAATCTTGTGAATTGGATGCAYAGTTGATGWATTTCAAAGCGACTGCAGTCTGAACGCTCTTGTCAAATTTCATCTGCGTTTTACTTCAGTGAGGTGGGGTTGAGCAGATTGATTCATATAATAATGACACTAACCTCGAGTCATACTTTTTAAAATCTGTAACTCCACACTTCTTCAGCCATCAACCAGAATTCCAGTTGCTTCGTCTTTGTTCTTTTAATTTTCCATGTCCTGGATGACTAAGAATTCACAGAAACATATGATAGTAACGCCCATTGTTGTTCATGGACCGTATCGACACTGAAGTTACTCGACTGATATTTTTGTTTTAGCACGTCTCATCGTTCCAAAAATAAAATACTGCACCAGAGCATCCAGTCAGAGGCAGGTTCAGATATAAACACTGAACTGAAGCGTGTCTGATAATCATTTAATCGGCTSTGATGGCACAACTTCAGAATCGACATGTTAACATGTAGCATAGCTAACTCTGTAAACAGCGAGTTTAATGTGACGTCACGTCATCTTCTGCACAAGCGGTTCACATCAAGGCCACGGAAATTTCACACTGTAGTCAGATGGAAGTTGCATTTAAAATATAWTGTGATTGTTTATGCCAAAAAAAAAATCCCAAAAATCCGAATTAAGCATTAAGACCTGCAGTTTGAAGGTAGCCGTTGACATTGAAGCAATTGTTTGAAGTGGAATTCAACAAAACATTAATGTCTTACTTGTTGTAGACTCTTTGAATGACTCAGCTTAAAGAACAAGGGTTTAGTTCTACTTTTTTGTTTAACACAGCAGCAATCTACTTTTGTCTTGTCTGCACTATGACTAACCATTAGCTCTTCAGTCAGGACAGGTAGTAAAGGGAAGTAATGTTCTGTCTAGTTATCAATGCTTAACATCAGTTATTAACTAACTATTTGGCAGAACATCAATTCAAAAATGGCAAAACTATACCTTCGGCCATTTTTGARTTGGTAAAGAAAGAAAAAGAAAATGGCAAAGTTAAAACTATACCTTTTAACTTTACCATTTTCTCCCAACTGATGTCATTCAGAGAGTTATTCACAACAAGTAAGATATTGATTGTTCCCCACTTCAAAACATCTGAACTRTCTCTGCAACTGGCYCCGATTTACTGTCTAATTTGATCTACCTACAGGTATCACCTGTCCTGGCCAAACACCAGTCCAATCCCCATCGAGACCACCTTACATCCCACTACCGCCCAGCAGACCACCATCCCAACTGACATTCAGCTTCCCACCATCCACAGTGGGCCTACCAGACAGACCGTATTCGTGGGTGAAACCGCCAGTTTTCTGTGCGAGGTGTCCGGAAAGCCTCAGCCGGAGATCACTTGGGAGAAACAGCTGAAGGGCAAAGACAACATCATCATGAGACCCAATCACGTGCGAGATAATGTCGTGGTGACCAATATTGGCCAGTTGGTCATATACAACACCCAACTTCAGGATGCCGGAATTTACACATGCACAGCCAAAAACGTCGGAGGAAGCATGTCATTGCATTTTCCTTTGGCGGTAATCAAGAGCGAGCAGAAGGGGAAAAATGTAGAGGCGAATAATACCAAYCTGCCTTTCCCAGCCGCAGAGTGTCTTAAGAGTCCAGACATGGACGACTGCGGAGAAGAAAGCATTAGCTGGTACTATGAACCGAAACGGAACAACTGCTTCACCTTCACCTACAGCCAGTGTAACAAAAACCAAAACCATTTTGACACCTACGAATCGTGCATGCTGTCRTGTGGCGGAGAGGTGGCGGCTCCCTGCAGCCTACCAAGTCTTCAAGGTCCCTGCAAGGTCTACGAGCCTCGCTGGGCGTACAGCAGCAGCCTGAAAAAGTGCCAGTCTTTCGTGTTCGGAGGCTGCGGAGGCAACGAGAACAACTTCGAGTCCAAAGAGGCCTGCGAAGAGATGTGCCCCTTCCCAAAGAACCACAACTGCAAGATCTGCAAGCCTCGAGGCAAGATGGTCACCAGCTTCTGCAAGAGTGACTTCGTGATCCTCGGACACGTCTCCGAGCTGACAGAAGAGCAGGAGTCAGGCCACGCTCTGGTGACCGTGGAGGAAATCTTGAAGGATGAGAAGATGGGCCTGAGGTTCTTTGGGAAGGAGCCGTTGGAAGTGACCCTTCTGAACATGGACTGGAACTGCCCCTGCCCTAACATCACGGTCGCTGATGGGCAGCTCATCATCATGGGGGACGTTCACAACGGGATGGCCGTCCTCCAGCCTGACAGTTTCGTGGGCTCCTCCAGCGCTCGCCGAATCAGAAAGCTGCGTGAAGTTATCCAGAAGAAGACCTGCGATTTCCTCAAAGATTTCTCTGCAATGCAGTGATTCACCGTCCGATTCCTTCAAGCTCCAGTGACCTCATCAGTCAGAMTCACTGCCAAGAAACACAATATTTGTTTTGGTTGCATTTTCTTACAYATATTTTATTTTCTTTCATTTCCTATTTCACTCCAAAGATCTTTTATCAAAAGTATTTACTGTGCAAAATATTTAATGTTTTTTTTTCCCTTTACTGAATCTTTTACACACTAATATTCATTTTGTTAGACGTTTTAATGTGATAAGCATATTGATGTTGTTGTTGTGTAACAGCTGTCCTGAGCTCTTCACCTCACAGGAATTCAATGCAAAGCCTCAGTTTATCCACCAGAATCAAATAAGCTCTTTGGTTCCATTATTTTTTTTGGAATCAGTTTTCATTACAACACTGAAAATGTACGGGAACTCATGTGTCATATTTATTTTTCTCTATCTCATTCTTAGGGCTTTGCCAAGTGGATTTATATAGTTTTAATTTAATCTAATTACTTAAAAAACATGTTTTTATCCATGAAAACTTAGATTAACTGATGAATAAAGATGATTCTGAAATATTTTCTGCTGGTCTTTTTCAAATGTCTTACATCTGTTGGATAAAAGCGGAAATTTCAGACCAATTGTCAAATTAATCTTTTCTTATTCTTTTCTATTTTTTTGTGTGGCTGACATCTTTATATCCTTTTAACTCATCCACACACACTCAGGCCCTTGTCTGGCATTAATGGCTGAAGCAGGTCACATTCCAGCCCAGCTGTGGTGGCCTGCCGAGTCGTGTGTGTTGTGTTGTGTCTGAGTCTGGGGCCCTTGCATAGCATGCACCCCACCAGCCGGCCGGTCGTGTTGCGCGGTCCCTTTCATGTGCGGGAGGCCRGGGTGAAGGAGGAAGGTGGGGGCCTGGCTGATTTCTTAGTCTTTCATTCACTCCACTGGCCACATCTGTGTTTTGGAGACATAATAGAAAACAAAGTTTTGAAGAAGAAAAAAAAGAGGGAGTGTTTCGGTGAATTATGCTCGACAGGATAGAGCTTTGAGCTTTATTTATCAAAGTAAGCACAYGTTCGGAAGATTTTCCACTTTTTTACAATGAGATCTTGAGTAAAATATTGTAGAGTCAGACTCAAATGCTTCCCCTCCTCTCCTGTTCTTATTGCCCCTTCTCTGTATTCCTCAGCCTCCTTCCACYGCCTCCTTAGATCGACAGACAACCAGCACAGGGCTGTGACCTCTGACCTGACTAATGAAAAAGGGGCCACCAAGGAAAAGGTCACTTTCATTACAGCTGTTGACAAGTGTTAAGTAACTGGCTGCTCTCCAAACTCCTTCGTGTCCAATGCATCCCAGCCGGCTGCGGATTTCAAGTTCACTCAGACACGACCACAGGGGCTGCAGCCAGGCAGACTATAGTAATAACAGAATTCACAGAGGGGATTTATTTATTATTGTCCACTGCCATGAAAAGTGGGATCATGTATTTRTCTGTGTCTGTTCGTTGCATTTAAATTAAATTCTGAATCTTATTGGGTGTACTTCCACAACTGATTAAACTCGGGCGATGGCAGTATAAGCAAAACTTTTTGAATCTAAAAGTCAGAAAAAGTAAATCTAAAAGTAATAACAAGTAACAAATACTGTGTGTGTATATA